TCCATTTTAAGGACAGGACTGGGTGGGCCATGCTTCTGACGCTCTGGCCTTCCCCACCATGCCCCCTTATCCTTCCCACCGGGCTGACTGCTCCTGGAGGACACGACCTATCTTTCTGCTGGCATGTGTGAGCCTGGCACTTGGCCTGCACCTGTCATTCTAAGACCCTCTGAAGTTCCTTCCGCTCCCGGGCCTCCAGCTTTATTATCTGTAATCCTACGACTCTACCACGTTCCTTCCCCTCACAGGCCTCAGTTTCCACCCCCTGTAACAGAAAGGTCTCACCCTCCCCCTCCAGCTCCACTGCCTGTCATCCTATGACCTTACGGAGCTGCCTTCACCTCCCGGGCCTCAGTTTCCCTCTCTGTAAAGGGCAGGGCAGGCCCCTCCTGTCAGGACGTCCAGGCCCCGAGGCCTCGGCCTCCTGTCAGACGGGCCTTACCTGCGCCGAGGTGCTTAGGCCGCGGCGGAGGGCGGCGCCGACGGGGCGGGCGAAGGACGACAGCATGGTGGGACGGACGGAGGGCGCGAGTCCGGTGCCGGGAAGGAGAGCGGCCGGTGACTCCAACGACCTACAGCACGCACGCAAGCACGCAAGCACGCGAGCACGCGAGCACGCAAGCACGCAAGCACGCACGCAAGCACGCACAACCCCTTTTAGTTCTCGGACTCCAACCCCGCGAGATTTGCCGCAGTCGCCGGGCCACGCCTCCCTCCCGCTCCGGCCAATCTCGCGAGGTCAGCCTTCCAAATCCCGCGAGATTTCCCTGCCCCCCTCCTTCCCGTTCTCCGCCTTCTCGCCGGCCGGCCCGCCTGCCAAGGTTGAGAGGGACGGCGCGGAGGGGATTCAAATCACGCGAGAGTTGGGAGGCTGGTGGGATTTGGACTTCGCAACCGTCGAGCGTTTGGTCCTTAGCAACCAGTTGCTGACGGAAGCGGAGGAAGAAGCCGCTGCGGAGGCGGAGGCGGAGGCGGAGGCTGAGGCAGGAGAAAGGAAGTGGGGAGGGAGGGAGGAGGAGGAGGGGAGTATTAGCTATAATAGTAATAATAATAGCAGTAATATTAAATCGCCGTGACGAATACAAAGGTGAATCAAGGCAAGGGCTGTCCCTCGAGCCGGGCCGGACCCGGGGCACAGGGGGCGCAGAGTCCCGTCTGGCCCGGGGGCTGTGACCGAGGTCCAGGGTACGGAGCCAGGAGGGCTGTCCACCGCATTCCAATATAATCGGTTTCCTTTGTTATTTTATTTTATGCTTTTAAAGACCCGGCGCTGAGAAGGGCTCCTTAGGCCCGAGGGGTCCAGGGCACACAAAAGGTCTGAAGCCCAGCATCAGAAGGTCGGGCGTAAAGCGAGGTGGTAGAGTAGCGATCTCTGGATCTGAGCAAACTGGGTCTGCCAGCTCAGGTCAGTGTTCTCTGCTACTCACCGCCTTAGAGACTTGCCCAGAGCCCAGAAAGGTCAAGTACTTTCTCAGAGTCACACAGCCAGGGTGTGTTAGAGCTAGAACTTGAACCCAGATTCCCAGCTTCCAGGCCAGTTCTCTGTTACACCATCGCTGCCTTTCCCAGGTCACTAACAAGAGATGACTAAAAGGGCAGCGGACCGACTAGGCCAGATTGTGAGGGCACCGCAGTTTGTTTTGTGCCACATCAGCATGCCCCCGTAACTTTCCTCCCAGAAGACATTCACGCATCTACATACACTTGCTGATAGAAACTATGTATACATAGAGGCACCACATTAATATATCCTGGTGAAATGGAGCATGTGCTGAATTGTTGTTTGTTTGTTTGTTTTTTCATTATTTTATGAAGCTTTAATCTATTTAGACACTGGTTGAGGACCCGACAGGAGTGCGGCTTAGGAATGTTTTTTGTTTAAATCCCGGTTTCAAAATGAGCGCATGCTCCATTGCATAAGCAATTCCATGCAGTAGCAGCGGAGCATGTGCTGGTTTTGAAATCGGGATTTACTGCCGCTTATTACCTCTGTGAAATGACCTCTGGCCTTTAGTATCCTCATCTGTAAAGGTGAGGGACTTTGGATCATATAATATGAAAGCCCCTTGTAACTAAATCTATGATCCTCTTAATCAGTGGTTAATATATATATGTGTGTGTATATATACATATATACACACACATATGTATATATATATGTATATATACACACATTGTCTTAGCAAAGAAATGGGCATAGGACACTTCCTATTTCTTTAGTCAATAAAGCATTTTTAAGTCCCAGGTCCTGTGCTAGGCACTGAAGATAAAATGACCAAAAAATAAAACAAACTTCTTAAGAAGCTTACATTGCATGGAGAACTCTCAAGAAATTGTTGTTTTTAGTTTCATTTAGTTGGTGTTAACTAGAAAAAAGGACATAACCTTCTCTCCAAACCTAAATTCCCATGGCAAATGAGGTAAAGCATTAAAAAATCAATATGTTTTACCTTAAAAAAAAGACATTTATGTAACAGTGGAATATTAGAAATAATGACCTTGGCTTCTCATAAACCTGAATTTTGTTTATTTTTTATTGTCTTAGTGAATAAGAATTTTAAAATTTTTATTTTTATTGATGCTTTTTGTTGTTATAGTTCATTCATTTTCAAACATATTCCCTCTCCTTCCCCAATGCAGTGAACCATCCCTTATAACAAATATTAGGAAAGAGAAAGAAAGAAAGCAATTTAACGAAACCAACACACATCTTGATTATGTCTGACAGTATGTACAATATGAGGAATAAGATTTTAATACAACTTTTGAATTGGATTTGGATAAATGTCTTGAAAATATACCTTATCATTGATTCTAGAGCCCTAAATATCTTTCTGACCATTCTGTATTCTACCTATTCATATATGCAGATATATATATACGTATACATATATACATATATGGATGGTACTCTGTGTATATACACACATATGCATGTGTGTGTGTATATGTATATATATGTATATATGCATAGTACAAGTTCAGTCATGTCTGACTCTTCATGACCCCATTTGGGGTTTTCTTGGCAGAGATGCTGGAGTGGTTTGCCATTTCCTCTTCCAGTTCATTTTACAGATGAGGAAACTGAGGTAAACAGGTTGAAGTGACTTACCCAGGGTCACACAGTGGCTGAGACCAAATTTGAAGTCAGGAAGATGAGTCTTCTTGATTCCAAACTTGGTACTTTATCCACTGTACCACCTAGCTGCCCCGTAGTACAAGTATGTTTTGCTTAATATAATATTTTTGAAACCTTTATTCTTCACTGAAGATGCTGCATTATAAATTCTTTGAAGTTGCTTCTTAGAGACATTTAAATGATTCTTTGAATCTCTATCTTAATAGCTTAAGAAGTAGAGATTTGAATCAATCTATTACTTCCTAGTAAATGACATTTTTAAGATGGAAAGAAATGTATTTATGCAAGTTTTTTATTATCCCTTCCTAATAGAATGGCTGGATTCCTCTTGTGTGAGCCAACAACACTTTACAATATCTTAAATCAGGAAACAAAGCACTCCAGATTAGCAGAGACCAACTATCTCTATTTACTAGGTAAGTCAGACATTCCATCCCTATTTGTTTGTTGAATAGAATTGCTCACTAAACATCTTGTACATCTGGGGTCCTAAACTTGCCTATGTTGTGGAGAATGAATACACAGATGGATAAGACCAGGTCCAATAATCTCTCCTCCCTGTCCAGCCTGAGCAAAGGGAGTGCAGTGATGCAGAAATAGGTCTGGCCAGAGGCTATGACAGAGATGCCTCCAGAGAGTGGTGCTGTAAAGTGAGCTGGTCCAGTAGTCTGGGTGAGGCAGTCTATAAAGGTCATATATCTGAAGGAAGGGCTAGAGGCAAGTGGGGAGTTTCTGGAGATAACAAGAGTCAGTTCTCCTGAGGTGGTGAGCATGTTGGGCTCAGAGTCAGAGTGTGGTAGTGTCAGGATCCACAGTGGGAAGCAAAGGAACCTGGACCAAGGTTAGATAAAAGTCCAAGAAAGCCAGGGGTCCAGAGAGGTTTAAGTTCATGCAAAAGGTGTATTTTTCTAGTTTCTTTTGAGCCCTGGTGTTTGGGCATCCCTGCTAATATTGGTCTTCTGACATCTCCCTGCTCCTGTGTGCATTTCCTACATGGGCAACAGTGGAGTTTGCAGGGCAGTAGCTACCCTAGGATTTATATTCTGATAAGAAGTACAACAATGACTGTAATACAAAATAGAGTATTGTTAATGGAAAGGATATATTTATGGATTATCAATTTTATACAATACTTGGAGCCAAAAGAGCCTGATTCATTGAAGGAAATTTTCTGGCCTACACTCCTCCAAAGTGGGTGAGTGTGAACACTCCATAATGATGTAATCTAGTTTGGGAAGATTTTTTTTTTCCAGTACTGTTAGCATCTCAATTTAGTGGGAGAGGTAGAAGGCCAAGAAGTGGAGTGGCTATAGCCTAAAAGGGGTAACAGAGATGGTAGTGTCAGGGAGAGTCTAGTTCCTGAGAAGTCAGCACTCCCAAGCCAAAAGAAGGCAGCATTCTGTAGCTTTCCGTGCCATGAGAATTAAGTGCTTGATTGACCACTATGCTGAAATTGGGCAGTGATTAAGCCAAACAGCTTTGAACTGATTTTCAGCCCTGGTACCATGTGTGATCGGCCTCACTCCCATTGAGGAGATAGAAGGATTACTTAGGAAGTTGGAGAGCACCTTCCAGGATGCCTTTGGAGGTGGCAGATTTTGACATAGGTGACAAGAATGTTTATTAACTCATTGAATTCCTTGTATTTATGTTGCTTTTATGATTAAATTCTTTGTGTTTTGATTTTGTGTCACCTAGCATAGACAGGTACAGTGGTGAGAATTCTGTGGACTTACATAGACGATGATCTCAACAGTACCATGAACCTGGGTATAGCCAAAAGGGGCATTTTGTTTTGTTGGGACCCATCTGGGACCCATTTCTTTTTTTTTATTGAATAAGTCTAGTTTGGTTAAACTAAGGTTCCCTGCTGTAGAACTTCAGAACTGCTGTAGAATGCTTTCCATTTCTTTTTTTTTTTCTTTCTAGGCTATAATTTGATAACAGAGTTGAACAGCACCACTCTTACAGGCCAGACCAGTTGTTTTAAGTAATTGTTATACTGTTGAATGCCAGTGTCATTGAACTTTGTTGTTTATTGGTGAAGTGATCTCACGGAACTCTCATTGTAAATTACATTCTTGAATCCTGGAATGATCACCATGATTATTCTGCTGGTAGAAAATTTGTGCGCAACCATAGGATTTGGTCTGCACTGAGTACTGACACCTGACTGTGAGCCCTTTAGGGGAATGTAAACTGCTGCTTAATAAGGTATATGGGAATAGCTGTAGTGTGTCAGCTGTCTGACACAGTAGAACATCCCAGTATCCCCAGAGAGGTTACTGTGATTAGCACCATTTGGGAACTAGGTATTAAATGCTCTGTTGCTAACCACGAGATGATAAGACATTTTAAGGCCTTCTTGCTAAGAGAAGGATGAATTGGGAATGATAATAAGAAGCCTCCTGGGAGAAGCTGCAGCTCATGATTCCGTGGCCATTCCCTCTACAACAGTCAGGGACCTGATGTCCACACCATCAGTGGCTCTGTGACTATAGTTAGTCATGGAGGGCAGACCACAGCCTACCTGCATCATTACGAAGAACTCATTCTCATTGTCCAGGAAGGGAACTGCTTGAATCTGGGGCTAGGAAATACTCCAGAAGTAATGTCAGAGGGCGGGAGTTGATCCAGAGAATCATCGGAGATTACTGGAAGTCCTGAAGGCACTGGCATTTGATCTTGCACATTTCCAAAGTGCAGCAGCCCATGAGTACACAGGATGGTTGGAAAATTGGAGGCGTAGAGAATGCACAGCCCCCACGTGTCCAGTTCCTCGATAGTCTTCAATGAAAGGGAAAGAAAGCCTCTGACTCTGTGTTACAGTTGGCAAGGTTTCTCCAGCACCAGGGACCACCTCCACTGCCTCATCCCCTTCCCCAGCACCCCAAGGGGGATCAGAAGCAGCTGCAGCTGCAGGCTAGACAGAACCCAGATCCTTGTTGATTGATTGATTGATTGATTCAGGCAGAAGGACATCTGCTGACCTACATGAGCAGGGAGTGAGATCCATGTGATTCACCTTAATGTTTGTGCTCGCAAGTGAAGGGACAATCAAGGGGTCACTTGGTGACTTAGAGTAGATATGCAAAAGAGAGGCCTACGTTGTGCAGGGAAAGAGCCCAAACAAACCCAGTTTGTCCCACCTGGCCCCGTGACATCTCCCCAGGTAAGGACTAGACATCCCAAAAGAAAGGCCAGTCACATCATAGCGATCCCACTGAAGAAGCTTGGGCCACACTGGCCCAGTATGCAGAGCCTGTCTTCCCTGAAGGCCAAAAGAGTTTTGGATCTAAGATCACAACAGGCCATCCTGGGAAAAGGAGTTGGAGAATGTGGCCAGAGAGGCCATACCTGGGTGAATTTCTTTTTTTAATACACAGTTTTATTGAACAATAGACAGTATCGCAGCTGATGGAGTCTGAAAGCAAATCGAAGCATACTTTTTTTACTTTACTTTTCTTGGGTTTCTTTGGTCTGTGTTTTCTTTCACAACATGACTAATGTGGAAATTTTTAAAAAAAGAAGGATAAAATGTCACAAACAACAGGTCATAATAATCAGTAAACATCACAGCTGTTCACCAGGAGTCATGTTTTTCTGTGTTGATATTCACCCTACACAACACAGAAACGAAAGTGAAACATCTCTGATTTCAACTTAACAGAAAAGTTTCAATATAAATCCGTGTCTACCTCTCATCTGCCCCATTAGAACGTGAGCTCAGTGCAACTAGGGATTATTTCATTTTTTGTGCTTGTATCCCTAGCACCCAGCATAGTACCTGGCATATCGTAGGTATTGATTTGAGTGCATCATATTTTAATTTCTTGTTCATCTTTGGATATTTTAGTAGCATTTGTGTTTGATTGCAAGAAACAGCCAGAAGTCCAGTTTGGCTGGTCCATAGAGTACAAGAGGGGATGTAGGTTGAGACCAGGTTGTAAAGGGCTTTAAAAGCTAGAGTTTATATTTGCTCTTAGAAGCAATGGGGAATCAATAGGCAGATAATGTGGTCAGATCTGTGCTTTAGGAAGTTCATGTTGACAGTGGTATGGACAATGGACTGAAGTGAGGAGAGACAGGGTGACCAATCAGAGGTCATCGCAATAGTCCAAGGGAGCTGATACAGGCCTTAATCAAGGACTGTCGCCTGAGAGAAGAAAAGGAATCCTCTGCAAGAGATGTGGTAGAGATAAAAACGAGATTTGGCAGCTACTTAGATATGTGAAGTGTGTCAAAGTGAAGACACAGAGGAAACCTGACGTTGCAAACCTGAGCAACTGCAAAGATGGCGGTGCCCTCTACAGAAATAGGGAATGTCAAGGATGTAGACTGTAACATCCCTGTCCCTGGAGGATGTCTGCCCAATCTATAAAGCAGTCTGGGGTGGTAGGGCAAAGGGAGGATATTGGGGAAGGAGAGAATTTTCTCAGGGGCACCTGTAAAGCTGCTGGGGTGAAGTGATTAACACCCCATGCCAAAGGGGGAAGGTGGGGAGATTACCAGACAGCAAGAGGGCTGTGATAGGCAAAGGGTACCTTCAAGGTTGGAGGCCAGCTCTTGCGGCGAGGCCAAGATCCATACTGCCACCCTTTGGAGAGCGGATCTTGTGCCTCTGGGAGTCACACCCAGGCCCTCACTTTGTATACTACTGTTCTAGAAGTCAGGAGCTGTGACTCCTAAACTTATTGTCTGTCCTAAACGTAGCTTATTTCAAATGTAACCCATATTATTGTTTTTAAAAAAACCTGTGGGCTGGGAAAACTGGAAAAGAGTATGGCAGAAACTAGGCATAGATCAAAATCTCACACCATATAACAAAATTAAGTCAAAATGGGTTCGTGATTTAGATATAAAGGCTGATACTGTAAGCAAACTGGGAGAGCAAGGAATAGTTTACCTATCAGATTTATGGAGAACAGAAGAATTCAGGACCAAACAGGAGATAGAGAACATTACAAAAAGCAAAATGGATAACTTTGGTTACATTAAATTGAAAAGTTTTTGCACAAACAAAGCCAATGCAACCAGGATTAGAAGGAAAGTAGAAAATTGGGAAAGAATTTTTACAACCAGTCTCTCTGATAAGGGCCTCATTTCTAAAATATATGGAGAATTAAGTCAAATTTATAAGAATACAAGTCATTCCCCAATTGATAAATGGTCAAAGGATATGAACAGGCAGTTCTCAGATGAAGAAATTAAAGCCATTTCTAGTCATATGAAAAAATGCTCTAAATCACTATTGATTAGAGAAATGCAAATCAAAACAGCTCTGAGGTACTACATCATACCTATCAGATTGGCCAAGATGACAAAACAAGAAAATGATAAATGTTGGAGAAGATGTGGGAAAATTGGAACACTAATGCATTGTTGGTGGAGTTGTGAAACGATCCAGCCATTTTGGAGAGCAATTTGGAACTGTGCCAAAAGGGCTATAAAAATGTGCATACCTTTTGACCCAGGAATAGTACTTCTAGGGCTATATCCCAAAGAGATCATAGAAATGGGAAAAGGACCCACATGTACAAAAATATTTATAGCAGCTCTTTTTGTGGTGGCAAAGAATTGGAAACTGAGAGGATGCCCATCAATTGGGGAATGGCTGAGCAAGTTGCAGTATATGAATGTAATGGAATACTATTGTGCTATAAGAAATGATGGGGGACAGCTAGGTGGCGCAGTAGATAGAGCTCCAGCCTTGGAGTCAGGAGGACCTGCATTCAAATCTGGCCTCAGATATTTGACATTAATAGCTGTGTGACCCTGGGCGAGTCACTTAACCCCTATTACCTCACCAAAAAAGCAAAAAAAAAAAAAAAGAAAAGAAAAGAAAAGAAATGATGAACAGGTTGACTTCACAAAAACCTGGAAAGACTAGTATGGTCTGATGCTGAGTGAAGTGAGCAGAACCAGGAGAACATTGTACACAATAACAGCCTTGTTGTGTGATGACTAATAGTGATAAACTTAACCCTTCCGAGCAGTACAAGGATCTAAGACATCTCCGAAGGCCGCGTGATGGAAAATGCTACCCACATCCAAAGAAAGAACTATAGAGTTTGAATGCAGATCAAAGCATACTATTTGCTATTTTTTATCTTCTGTTCAGTTTTGTTTCCTCTTTCTGGTGGCTCCTTCTATTGGTCCTAATTCTTACTTACAACATCACTAATGTGAAAATACGTTTAATAGGAATGTGTATGTAGAGCCTATATCAGATTGTGCACCGTGGTGGGGAGGGAGGGGGAGAAAAATTTTAAACTCAAAAGCATATGGAAGTGATTGTTGATAAAATAAATTAATAAAAAAAAAGAATCTGTGGGAAGGAAGCGTCACAGAATGATAATGATATGGAAGAGGGTCTCCAGCTCCTCACATCCAAACCCCTCATTCTACTAAGGAAGCTGAGGGCCCGAGAGCCATGACCGCCCCAAACTCATTTGGTTTGGTAATGATAGTCCCAGAACAAAAGTAAACCCAGGCCTTCTAATTCCTAGTCTGTCAAGAAACAGGTTCTGGAAGGATTTATTTTAAAGGCAGTTGGGAAAAGTTGCAAAAAAGAAAGCATGTGATCAAGTTGGGGGAGGAGATCATCTTGTAGAGATTCAAGCCTGATGCCTGATGGGAGAGAGCCAGAGTGACCTCCCTCCACAAGAAAAGATAATGTAGGTAAAAGTCAGCAGAGTAACTGAGTCCTGATGGGGTTTTTACTTTTTACATTGAGATGCCCTGTTTTCTGATATAGGCAAGGAAAGAAGAGAGTGTTGAGAATTCACTTCCATTCCACAAGCATAGGAAGTTCCAGGCCCTGTGCCAAGGAGGAAAATGAAAACAGTCCCTGCCCTCAAGAAGCTTATGCTCTGCTGAGGGAAAACAATGTGTCCACCAAAGAAGACATACAAAGTAAACAATGTACTTTTGGAGAGAGGTGCGCTAGCGACTGAGAGGGTCCAGAAAGGCCTCATGTAGGAGGTAGCATTTAATGTGACGCTTGAGTGAGGCTGCAGATTCAAGGGGTGCAAGTGAGGAGGGAGAGTGTTCCAGGCATGGGGCCAGTCTGTGCAAAGGCCCGGAAATGAGAGATGGGATGCCACGTATGAGGAACAGGAAGCAAACGTCACACGGCCTTTTAGCCAATAGAGTTGATGATGGCTACAGCACTACTGTGTCAGCTGGAGTGATTGCTTAAATGCTTTCTGTTTCAGATGTCCGTACCAAACGAGAATATGATGAAAGCCACATCATCACCGCCCAGAGGATGAAGCAGGTACTTTGTAGTGCTGCACCATCTGTGTGTTGGTGAGCTTTGCTGTTTGTAGCTAGCGCTGAGCCTCCCTTGGTTTCTCCTTGCTCTTCTCAGCATGATGTGGTGGAAAGACCCCAGGGCTTGGAATCGCAGTCCTGAGTGGGGCCGCGTACAAGTCAAGTCACCTTGACCAAGTCATCAACCCTGAGCTTCAATTTCTTCATCTGTAAAATGGAGGCGATAATACTTGTACCTTCATTTTCAGTCTTCTTATGTTCGCTTCATATTACTTCCCTTAATGCCTTCTGTTCCAGTCAGACCAGCCTATTAGCGGTTCTCTGAATATAACATCTCCCACCTCCATGCCTTTGCATAGACTGTCCTCCCTGTCTATAATACTGTCGTCTCTCACAGTCATGTCTTAGAATCCCTGGCTTTCTTCTTCTTACAAACTCAGATGCCATCTCCTACTCAAAGACTTTGTATATTCCCCCTCCCCCGAAGTTGTCAGTGATCTTTCCCTCTTGGAAATATGTAATTTTGCATGGACTTATGTCTGTTTATCTGCTGTCCTCAGTAGAACCTGCCCACCGAGGGCAAGAACTATTTCATTTCTGTGTTTGGTTTGGTTTGATTTGGTTTTATCTCAAGCACTCAGCTCAATGCCTTGCACTTAATGCTTGTAGGATTGGATTGAATTGAATTGAATTGGAATGATCTTAAAATGTTGTTATGAGATAATGGATGTAGAGTGCTTTATAGCCACAGAGTGCCATAGAAACGTAATGTAATTTACTTCTAATAGGAGAGATGAATAGGGAGCCAGTGGACAGGCACCACTGAAATCTTTTTGGTGTCTCCATGTTTGATTCAGTAGTAAGTCTTGCACACCATTAAATGCATACAGCATTTGGAATGAAGAAGAAAATTGTTCCCAGGGACAATCTCAGCTGAAAACACAACTGGGGAAGATTTCTACCTTCTCCATTTGCTGCAGGAGTTAGATAATGCTTAAGGTGATATCATAAGAGCGTTCTATCAACTTCTCCTAGGGTGGGATAGACGCTACAAAGAACTTTGGCAAACATTCAGCCTTTTTCTCCTTTAAAAGCAGAATTGATCAGAATAAACAAAACAAAGGTAGGACCAAACAACAAATACACACAACTGCTACAAAAATATCGGTAGTGTTTACTTTTTTAATGTTGTTTTACTTACCTGTTTCAGGCTTTGTATTTATTATACAACTTTTTCTTGTATATATTCATATATGTATATGCTGTCATCACCAATAGAATGTAATATCCTTGAGGACAGGGACGCTTTCGTTTTTTGTTTTTAACGGAAAGGGGTCTGTGATTTCACCCCCACCCTTCAGCTCAACTAATGCAATCACAGAATGTAGTTAACCAGATGAAGTTTTAATGTGTGAGCCAGATGAGTTTAAGTGTGAGTTGTGAGCCTCTCTAATTGGGTCAAGAAGGGATTTTAAATAGCTGGAGGAATTTCAGCAGATTGCTAAGCCAGCAGAGCAGGATTCCTAGTTCCAGAGTTGGAACAAGAAGTAGAAGAATCAGGCCCCTGAAAGAGAATCACTTTTTGTTGTTGTTGTTGTTGAGGCAGTTGGGGTTAAGTCACTTGCCCAAGGTCACACAGCTAGTAAGTGTTTAAAGCCAGATTTGAACTCAGGTCCTCCTGACTGCAGAGCTGGTGTTCTATCCATCCACTGCACCACCTTGATGCCCTGAGAATCATTCTTGGGGAGTCTCTCCTCTGTCCTCTCTACAATTGGCCTTGTCACTGGCCCAGCAGCAGTGCATCCATCTGAGAGCAGAGAAATCCCAAGGACAGATGGATATGGAGAGACAGATGCGGAAGGAAAGAGAGGAGTGCAGGGGTTGGTCTCCAGGAAGGATGTGTAGTGCTAGGACCTGTGAGTTATCCCTGTGCTACAGGACTTCCCCACATGGGTGTCTCACTGCTCCAAGTCTGAGCTCAGTCATCCCATGGACGCCATTTTATTCATGGCAAAGTGTGTTCCAAGATTTTTGGGGAAATGTACCAATTGTCCTTGCTAAGCTTGTGGAGTAAATGCCTCTGGAAAGAACAGAGTCTTCTAAATGTTTGTTAATGGAATACACACAGTAGGAACATGTGAGTGATAATGTTGGAAGTCCAGCCCCACAGGATTACCCCTAGAACTCTGAATGGAGGGGGACCCGACCTTCGAGGGCAGTTTGGGAGCATTGCCCCAGAATATGACTGCAGACACCTGTGTGTGTATATGTGTGTATGTTTGTATGTATGTATGTGTGTATGTTTGTATGTATGTATGTGTGTATGTATACGAGACAAAATTCGTATATGCGTGTATATACATATGTGTATACATGTATAGACATGTATACACCTGCGTGTATATATGTGTGTATACATCTGTGTGTATATATGTATACACACGTGTGTATATATATATGCATGCATAGGGACACAGAAACATATATGTGGGTGGTGTTTCCCCCAACAAAAGTTAAGCTCGTTGAGGACAGGAAATGTTTCCTTTTTTTGCCTTTTTATCACCAGCATTTAGCATAGCACCTGACACATAGTGGGTGCGTGATGAATGTTTCTTGATTGATTGAACGTTGAGAAATATTCAGTTAGAAGTACACTGGGGCTTTGTATGATGTGTTGAAGCAAAGCTTGTCAATGAAATTTTTTAAAGTAGAATGGAAGAAGGAAAGCATGTGGCCTGAAAGGGTCTACACTAGCTATTTGGTGCCTTAACCAAGTTTATTTTCATCTTTTAAAGTCCCCCCTCTTGTCTCTCTTCCTTTGCTCAGCCCCTGACCCATCTCCAGCTTTCTGAGTGTCTGGGTAGAGGAAGCATTTGAGAGCAGGGCCAGTGATGGCGGCCAAAGCTTGTGGAAGGGAAAAGAGACAGAAAGTGTTAGCGCTCAGCACGGGTACCTTTTCTCCCATTCAAAGAGAGGTGAATTGTGGTACTGACTATAGGAGTAGATAGAGCACTGGGCCTGGGGTCAGGAAGACCTGAGTTCAGATACTTACTGGCCTCAGACACTAGTAGTGTGACCCTGGGCAAGTCACTTCACCCCTATTTGCCTCAGTTCCTCATCTGTTAAAAAAAAAAAAAAAAACAACCTCAGAAGGAAATGGCAATCCACTCCAGTATCTTTGCCAAGAGAATGCCATGGAGAAGTCCATGACGTCACGAAGAGTCAGCTATAACTGAAGGACTGAACAAAAACAAAACTAGCCACCCACCCAGGAGAAGGCATCCTCCTCGAGGTTCCCTGGGAGGGCAGTACACTTATTATTGATGTAACTCCAGCAGTTAGCTTAGTAAGTAGCTCCCTCGCCCCCATGTACAATCAGAGAAATTAAAAGGTGGGAGGACATCTCTGCCTGCCTTCACCTGCTTTCCTCAGAAAGTCTCTTTTCTTTAGAATCTACCTCCTTTGAACACCTGACCAAGACAAAACTCATTCGTTTTCACTGAGCTCAGCATTTATTAAATGCATGACACACAATGAGGTTTTGTACAAAGGAAGAAGGCTTAGGGGAGCCAAAATTGGAGAGGGATCCACCTTAGTCTGGGACCACTTGGGGAAGGCACAGGAGACTGGCCTTCAGAGAAGAATTTTCTGAATATCAGAGCTATTTGAAAATGAAAATTCCTGCCTTCTGAGGCATACCAGATATACCAGCCAACCACCAGGTGTGTTGCTGTTAGGAGGGATTTCTGCATTGATTAAACTGGCTGAGTGCTGAAATCTGTTTCAGTTATAGGGTCCTGTGATGAATGATGAGCCTTCCCTAAATTCACTGCTTACCTTGTGACCCTGTTGGTTGAGGATTTCCAAAGCATTCTGGACGATACGTGAACGCTGCCTGCCCAGGGAAGGGGCCGCACCATGTTGCTTCCTTACTAGGACTCCATGATGTTAACCCTCTAACTTTATTCTCTTATCTTGTTAGAAGGGAGGTAAATATGTTGTTCCAGAGTCAATGGATCTGGAGTGTGTGAAGTTCTGCATCGTCTATGATGGAATCACCAACTCCTTGGACGTGAGCATAGAGCTCGAGGAAAAAGACAAGCCTGACAGCTCTGAGGATGAGGAGGAAGGTAGGTCTGTACAACTCCCTGTCCTGAGGCCACTGATGCCCCATTGCCATGACTTTCGTTAGAGGAGGCAGCCTTCAGGGCCAGCTTTGGAACCCGAGGACCTGGGCTAAGATTGCTAGGTCACTTCATCGTCAGGGTGGGAACCTGTGGCCTTCTAGGTCCTCAAGTGTGGCCCTCTGACTGAATCCAAACTTCACAGAACAAATCTGCTTCGTAAAAGGATTGGTTCTGTAAAACTTGACTCAGTCAAAAGGCTGAAGCCAAGGACCTAGAAGGCCACACGTGGCCTCGAGGCCGTGGATTCCCCAGCCCTGCCCAAGGCCTTGGTCTCCTTGTCTGTAGAGTGAGAACATTGGGCCAGATGGTTTTGATGGTTTCTCCCAGCTCTAAGTCTAGGAGCCTGGGATCCTAAAGCATTTAAGTTGTCTGGGCCCCGGCTTCCTTACTGTAAGATGAGGAGATTGAATTAGATGGCCTTCGAGATTACTTTCACCTGTTTTAAAAATGAAATTCTTTTTATTGTGGAAATCATCGTTAAATATGAATATTTCCATACACAAAGGCCAGAATATCGTACCCGAAACCACAAATCCACCGCATACGACTTGTGGTAGTAACAACGTTGCCCTGCTTGTCCCTGTCCCCCTCTGAACTCCACCCCCATCTCTTCTGTGCTTTTTTTAATGTTTCCTTTTCACTATGTTCTTTACTCTCTTCCTTTTTTTACATTACTACATTCCCCCCAATTCTCCCCACAACTTTTTCTTCCTCCCCAAATAAATCACCTTGCTTATAGTCAAAGTACAGTCAAACAAAACAGATGGGTGTTGTAATAGTAAGACCTGCATCTATAATCCATCACTTCTCCACCACACAGTAGGAGGTGCAATTTATCACCATTCTTCCAGAGACATGATTGTTAGTTCATTGACCAGAGTTCTTATCTCTTTCAAAACTGTCTTTACAATGTTGTTGTATAAATTGTTCCCTTGGTTCTGCTCCCTTTACTCTGTGTCAGTTTACACAAATCTTCCCAGATTTCCTTTGCCTTCCATCATTTCTTTTAAAGCAACGATATTCATATACATCAATATACCAAATTTTATTTAGCCAGTCCCCAAATTGATGAGTGCCCAATTTGTTTCTGGTTCTTTGCTATAATAACAGAAGTGCCGGGGCGGCTAGGTGGCACAGTGGATAGAGCACCAGCCCTGAAGTCAGGAGGACCTGAGTTCAAATCCGACCTCGGACATATAACAATCACTAGCTGTGTGACCCTGGACAAGTCGCTTAACCCCAATTGCCTAAAAAAAAAAAAAGAAGAAGAAGAAGTGCCACTGTCAACATTTTTGTGCCCCTAGATCCTTTCCCTTTTAATTTGATATCTTTGGGGCACATGCATGGTATTCCTGGGTCACAGGGACGCAGAGTTGAGTGATGCAGAATGACTAGACCAGTTCACAGCCCACCAGCAGTCATGTCTTCCCATAACCTCTCCTGCTGTTGCTGTCAATTTTTGTCCCCTTTGCCAGTCAGAAGAGTATAAATGGAACCTCAGAGTTGTCTTAGATTGCATTCCTCTTATTAGTAGAGATTTGAAGCATTTTTGTGTGGGGTTTTTGTTTTTGGTAGTTTGGATTTCTTCCTTTGAAAAATATTCGTGTCCTTTGGCCATTTATCATCAGGAGAATGACTTTTGATTTTTCTTGGATAACCGACCTTTATCAGAGAAATTTGCTGCAAAGATTTTTTTTAACCTAGTGAATTATTTCCCTTCTAACTACATTGCTTTTGTTTGTGTAAAACCTTTTCAATTTTATATAGTCAAAACTGTCCATTTTATGTCCTGTGATCTTCTCTGTCCTTTGTTTGGCTAAGAATTCTATTATCTGCAGTTATGCAAGGAATCTCCTTCCATTTTCTTGTTTTTTTGGGACATGACCTAGGTCATGTATCCATTTGGAACTTAATGGTAGTGAGAATTAGAGTTAAGGTTAGAATATAGAGAGGTGTTGATCTAAGCTTCATTTCTCCCAGACTGCTTTCCAGTTTTCCTTCTCTTGATTTTCAGTCCTGTATCCCCAGCCTCAGACACTTCCTAGTTGTGTGACCCTGTCCAAGTTGCTTAACCCTGTATGCCTCAGTTTCCTCATCTGTAAAATGAGCTGGAGAAGGAAATGGCAAGCCACTCCAGTGTCTCTGCCAAGAAGACCCCGAATGGGGTCGCAAAGAGTCAGATACAACTGAAAAATGTCTCAACAACAGCAACAACCCTTATTAAAACCTATTCCTGCTCCAGACTTCTCTGTGCCTGTTGAGGGCACCACTGCCCTGCTAGTCTCTCTTAACTCTCGCCTCTTCTAGACCTCCCCTAGCCAATCAGTCACCAAATCTGGTTGATTCTACTTCCTCAATGTCTCTTGAATCCATGTCCTTGGCCATACTCCCGTGGCCTGTGGCACCGGCTGCCTCATCAGTCCCTGGCTCTTCCTCTACAAGCAGAGCTCTAGCCCTACAGAAGCTCCCCATTGCCTCTGAGATGAAACCGAAATTCCTCAGTACAGCGGCATGAAAAACCTTTGGCAATCTTGGTCTCCAGGCCAAACCAGTCAAACAGACTTTGGCCAGCTCACAGTTCATGCTGTGACTCCAGCACTGATCAAGGAGTCAGGGAACTAGGGATCTGCTCCTCAGGGGTTCTGTCGTGAAAGTCAGCAGCCTCTAGGGGGCCTGAGCCTGCCCAGCAGCGCTGCCTGGGGCCCCTATCTCTTCCTACAATCCCGGCCAGTGCTGCCCAACCCCTCGCCCCCACCCCTTCCCCCACCCAGTGCTGCTGGGGCATATGGCCAATGATCCCTTGGCACAGGCGACAGCCTGGGGACCATGACTCCCCCCGCCTAAGGCTCCCTGAGGTTTCCTTTCCTGATTTGAAGGTGATGGCATCTGGATAGAGTGTGGCTGTCTGAGCACACAGTCTGTGGCTTAGATGTGGAGGGAAGCACTCAGGCCTCCAACGTTATAAATAACATTTTTGACACATGTCCCCAGTGGAGTAAGGCAGTAGACCTCCTTTTTAGTTTCTCTAGAAATGTTAAGCAATAGTTTTTCCCCACCCTAAAACTCTTTCTAGATTTTCACTTTTGGAAAGCGAGTGAGCAAAAGCCAAGGGTTTTTTTTAGGGAAATAGATTAAGGGTGATAAGGGTGCTTTCCCCAGCCCTGAAGGGCCCACACAAAGGTGGTGTCCTCTTCCATTGAAGGGGAGGTGCCTCTGTTCAGTACAGATTCTGCTGAAGAGCTCAGGGAAGGTTCCTCTTGATTCCTCCCAGGTGACATTCTGAAGGTTAACCTAGAGCTGTATTGTTACCGGCGTGGTTTTCTTCCTTAAGATTTATGTGAATGTTATGTAAAAGGATCTTGAGGTGGACCTGTGTTGGATGGGCATGGGGAAACTCTGAAATCTCTGCAAGCCAGAAATAAATAAGAGGCCAGCATAAATAAAATTAAATAAAATCATTTCTAGCAGACTGGTGCCCAAAGGCAGAGTATGGTGTGAATATTTCCACTTCAACACTGCCCTCTGACCCCAGAAACTGTGACTGAATAAAAAGAATGCTAACTGTACTTATTTCATCAAGTTACTTGCCAGGTTCTCCTGAATTAACCAGCTAGGTGGCACAATAGATAGAGCACCAGGCCTAGAGGCAGGAAGACCTGAGTTCAAATCCGGCCTCAGACACCTACTAGCTGTGCGACCCCTCAGCAATTTGCTTAACCTCTGCTTGCTTCAGCTTCTTTAACTGTTAAGATGGGGATATTTACGCCACACAGAGTTGTTGTGAAGCGCTTGGCAGAGTGCCTGGCACAGAGCTGGCATATGATAAATATATATATAATGAGTGCTTACTGCCTGCTTCCCTAGCGTAATAATAGTTATGTACATCATTAAAAATGGGCCTGATTAACTTTGTGGTTAAATTCTATTTGATTGTAACACTAAATCATTCACAGGCACATGGTCTTTTTAAAAATTTGCGCTACAGCTAGCTGTTTTGAAGTTTGTTTGTTTATTTTTACAAGCATTTATAATCACATAGGCACCAACTGAATAATAAAAGAAAATCCAAAAACTAAATCCTCAAAACAAGTATGCCTGGCCCAGTAAAGCAAATCCCCACATTGACCACATCCCAAAATGTCTGTCCTGTTCTGCATCTTGAGTACATGCGGTCTCTGGCAGAAAGCGGGTGGGGAGCTTCCTCTTCAGCTTTCTGGACTCCTGGCTTCTCCCCGCATTGATCACAGTTCTGTGCAAAGGGATTTGTCTTTAAAATGTTGTCCTTTCAGTCATTCTCCTGGTTCTGCTCACTTTGTTCTTAGTCCATAGGAGTCTCCCAGTTTGTTCTGAAGTTGTCCATTTCATCCTTTCTTGGGGCACAGTGATATTCCACTGCATTCATATACCATTATTAGTTTTGTCTTTCCTTAATGGGAGGGCAGCCCTTAGTTTTCAGTTTTGGAGCTGCTATAGAAAATGCTGCTAGAAATATTTTTGTTCATATAGATCCTTTTCCTCTTTCTTTGATCTCTTTAGGTTAATAATAATAGCTAGCAGTTATATAGTACTTCGAGAAGTTTTGCAGTGCACTTTACAAATATTGTTTCATTTAATGCTCATAACAGCCCTGGGAAGAAACTGAGGCAGGCAGAGGTTCAGTGATTTGCCTCGGGCTGGACAGTAAGTGTCTGAGGCCAGATTTGAACCCAATGCTTCCTGCCCCCAGACCGAGCGCTCCCTCCACTGTGGTGCTGTCAGGTGCCTCTAGAAATAGGCCTCTTAGGAGCTGGGTCGAAGGGTACATATGTAGGCACAGATCAGTCATTTGGGGGCACAGTCCAAATCACTTTCACTGCCCCACCACAAGGGCACCAGTGGGCCTGGTTTTCCTGCAGCCCCTTCAGCATTAGTCATTTTTCTCCCTTTCTTCTTTACCAGTCTGCCCAATATGAGGTTGTGCCCTGAAACTGCTTGAATTTGCATTTTGCTCACTATTGGCGATTTGGACCATATGCTCAGTCTATAGATTAGTGCTTGTATATCTCAATCACCTATTCACAACTTGTACAAGAATAGGGTGAAAAAGGGTAAGAGAAGCAGTAAGATTGACTCTCTCGCTTTGGCTCCTTGTTCGTTTAGGCAACGTTGTGATGGGGGCTGCCATAGAGGGTGCCAAGGTCTTGGCGGAGCACACCCGCCACCCCGTCTACATCCTGAATGGGGGCTATGAACGCTTCTCAGCTTCCTATCATTTCTTCAGGACTCAGAAGATTTTCTCAATGCCCCAGGTAAGTGGGAGGAGGGGGAGCTTTCCCACAAAATAACCCAGTCCAGGATCAGAGGTTTAGCATCCCGAGTCAGCAGTCCCAGATTTGAATCGCAGTTTTGTCGTCTGTGTGACCTCACTTCTTGGCTTCTTCCCCTGTAAAGTGTGGGGCTGGATTAGATGGCCTCGAGTCCCTTCCGTCTCTCAATCCATAAAGATCCTAGGGACTTCGTCATTTTACAAAGAAAACTGAGCCCACAGAGTAGAAATGGTTTGCTGTAAGCCAAGATAAGAACTGAGGTCAGAGAATCCCGAGGTTGGGAACAGAACGAGGTCTTTATAAACAGGCACTCAGAGGAGAGAGTGACTTGGCCAAGGCCATGTAGTAATTAAGTGGCATGGCTAGAAGTAGCTGTGGTCCAACGTTTGTCCACTAGCCTGAGCCGTTTGCCTCAGCTCATCACACTCTCTAAGGGGAGCCATCTGACACGGTATTGTTTTGTTATTAAAGAGAGAGGCTTTTTCAGTAGTGGGCCCAGTGAAAATTAGGTGCTTGTTACCACTTTATCCTAAAGCTACCGTAAAAAGGAAAAAAAAGGATTTCTCTGTACAGAAATATTTAGAGCTGCTGGAGGAGGGTTTATTGCAGGGACTTAAAAGGGGCTTCTCAGATGGGTGAGATGAACCAGCCCATACTGACAGCCATAGACCCTTTATGAATAAACGTACCAAAGCACTGGGAATACAAAGGGGAGAGTAGGACCCTCCCTGCTCACCAGATCACATTCTGATGCAGGAGACAACACATAGGCTTCAGCTGCGAGTCACAGGGAAAAGTCCCATGATTCTTAGGGTACAAGGTACCCTTCCTCAAGGCCATGTCCACTGGCGAAATCCTATCATCTTCTGATGCTGAACCACTGGACAGGGCCAAGGCCTTTGGTGACAAGATTTTCCTCTCTGGGTCCTCAGTGGCTGTGTCCATAGCCCCTGCGCAGGATGATGGCCGAGGGCACTGGGCTACAGGCATGGCAATTCCCCAGGCTCTTGGGCTGAGGGGGATAGCGGTCCTGGTGGTAGTAGCGGCTCGGTTTGCCTGGCCCATGATGCCCCCTGTTGGATTGCCTGTCCTGTGAGTGGCAGTTGGTTGGCAGTTGGTGGGGATGGCTGGCTTCTCCACAGGAGTTGCTGCGCAACTATTTGTCCACTCATCTTTCCGTTTACTTATTCATTTACTCACTTATTTATTAGTATATGTATGTATACATGCATGTATGTATGTATGTGGTATATTTATAACTGTGGGGCTTAATGGAAGGCACTTGAGGCTGGAATTAGAGAGGGGAGGAAGGGTCAACAAGGCTGCATCCAACCCCTAACCTAGAGCAGCAGTTGATACATCCACTCCTGGAGCAGCAGCCTCTGAAACTCCCACAGCAGAGACAGCTAGGGCATAGAGAGCACAACCAGGATGTGGCCAGAGGGCCTCTGGCCAGCGGGCGGTGCTGCGCCCATGAGGGGCTTCTCCCGGGAGCTGGCTAATAGCGACACCGATTTCTCATCACGTTGACACATGGGACATCTGGAGTCTTTGCCATTCATGTCTCAGGGCAGCTCAGGGATGCCAAAGAGGATCAGGTTTCCCTAATATGTGTCTGATTGTCATTTGCCTTTGATGTCATGGGTACAGGTGTCCCTACACCTCTACCTACAGTGGTAAGCTTGTACGGGAGATGGAATTCAGAAAAGCGAGGAGGCACCAGTTGAGAGAATGGGGGTGACTAGGGCCTGTTGAAGAAAGAGAAGGCTACCAAAAACTGAGATTTTCTGAAATACAGCCCTGCAAAAATAGCCCCCCGAATGGGAACAAGCTATAAGCTGCACCTCTACTAATTAGAAGAAGGCTGAGTAAATTATAGTACGTTAATTTAATGGATTATGATGCCACAAAATTATCAACAAGGAATATACAAGGAGATATTGGAAGATCCACATGAAGCAACGAAAAGCAAGGAATAGATCATAACAAAACTATATACACCAACTATAGCTGTACAAAGCAAAAAAAAAAATTTTTAAAGAAATACAACACAATAGAACTATGGCCTGATCTGGAAAGGGACGTAAAACAAAAATATGTGTTGCTTGTTTGTTGTTTGTTCATTCATTTGGTTCTACTGAGTTAAATGGATTTTATGTAAGATTTTATTCCGTATTTTGGAAGGTTACTAGATTGTTTTTGTGGTTGGTTAAACAAATTTAGGAACATGGTGTACCATTTCCCAAATGTGGTCTCTTCTTCCTATTTAATTCTGAGCCTACCCTACTAGAATCATTTCAGACTAGTACAAAGAGACGTACTCTTGGAGCCAAGAAGACCTGAGTTCATATCCCAACTCTGACACATAAATGGGCAAGTCACTTAGCCTCTTCTGGGCAACTCCCTAAGACTAAATTCCAGAGAAGGAGACTACCTGCATTGATAGAGGAAGTTCCTCACTGGGGGCACCCTACGCCAGTGAAATCACAGGTCCAGTACCTCCCCAGAGCATCATTCATCTGTAGAACCTAAGGTATACACATACACACACACACACACACACATATTTATACATGTGTGCATATATATGTGTATGTGTGAGTGTGTAGACTTCCTTGATGCATGCATTTGGCATCCACTTTGTTTTTCAAGTGTGAATGGCTGAACTAAACTCTTTTGCAATGGTATCAGTTTCACCAAAGAGACTTTGTGACATTCTCTGACAATGCAGTCAGTCAGTCGTCTGCAAACAGAAACGTCAGAAGAATCTCACCGTCATCAAGGCCTCGTTCTTTTCTTTTTTTTTTTTTTTAAATTTTTTTTTTAAGGCAATTGGGGTTAAGTGACTTGCCCAGGGTCACACAGCTAGTAAGTGTCAAGTGTTTGGTCTGAGGCCGGATTTGAACTCAGGTCCTCCTGATTTCAGGGCCGGTGCTCCATCCACTGTGCCACCTAGCTGCCCCGCCTCGTTCTTTTCTTTTGACTCTCTTCAGGGCATCTCCCTTAGGTGACCATATGTTTCCTTGTTTTTCCCCATGCTTAATTAACATCAGTATTCAGATGGCTGAACATTATCTCCATAGTTAGGTCTGTCTTAAAGTCTCATAGAATTATGACATATTCTTAGGACATAAGTGAGAGATAACAGAGAGAGATAACAGATGGATAGGCCACGTGGTAGCCAGAGGAAGGTCTTTAGCATGTTGAATACAAACAGTGGAAGCAGTGACGTATGAAGGAAAGGTAAAGGCTTCAGAGTTAGAGGACCTGAGTTCTGATCTTGGCTCTGCTACTTACTTCCTCGGTGACCTTGACTAAGTCATGCAAATTCTCTGGGCCTTCCTTCCTCATCTATAGAACAAGGGGGTTGGACTCAATGGCCTCAGGGGGCCTTTCCAGCTCTAAACTTTCATCGCACGCACAGGATGAGCAGGCCTCACTGTAGGTGGAGGGAGCATGTGCCCTAGTGAAATTCAAAATTCATCTAAGTATTAGACAGATGTAATTGAAATTCCTGAGCTGAAGATTGACCGCTGGCACAACTGTCCCCATTGAGAGCCACGAGCTCGCCAATGTCATCTGTGTTTTGTGTCTACAGTGGTATCTCCAGCTTTAACCAGTCTACCCATGAGTCACTGATCCTTAACGACGGCTCAGGCCACTTTGGGGTACTGTAGTGGTCTGTCTCAATTGTGAGATTGAGGCAGGCAGAATCAGAGAATGTGTGTTGGGATCTCAGAGCCCGATTAGGCCAGTGTACTTCTGTTATAGATGAAGGAACTGAGCCAGAAGGCTTGATAGCTAGCCTTGCCTTCACGTACACATTTTTAGTCAGTCATTCATTCCTTAGTACACATTTCCTAGAAGCCATACCCTGGGCAAGTCACTGGGCTTCTCGGAGCCCACAGATTTAAAGGATTCTGTGAACTTGGATGGAAAGAAACTGGCATCTTTATTTCCACCAGTGTCTAACTGAAATTTAGCATTTCCTCCAATTACGTAAAAACATTACTCTGAGGTTTGGTCTGTAGGCTTCCCCAAACTGTCACAGGGTCTAGGACATCCACAAAAAGGTGAAGAGCTCCTGACCTATGAGGTCTCCAGGGTTCCTTTTGGCTCAGTGATTCTGTTCTATGAACTGAGCTGACATGTTGCCTCATCTAGGGGGACAGTCTATTCTTTCCCTTATTGTCAGACTTTTAAAATGACTTTCAATTCCAACAGTCCCTTTACTGGTTTAAGGGACATTTCCATGCCCTCATGTGCACTGAAGGAGGTGCGTGTCTTAGAAATGTGCTGAATCTGAGATCCTTTGTAATCCTATGGGCAGAGCTTCAGCCTCTGTCTAGGGCAGCCAGCTGTTCCTGTGACTGGCCGTTCACCTCCTCCCTGGTTAGATCCCTGTGGGTTCTGGCCTATCCCAAACCCAAGCTGCTTGACAACATGGAAACAAAGAAGACAGATCTTTGCAAGGCCCACCAGCTCCCCTCCCTGAGCTGCTCTTGTGCCTGGTGGAGCCTATGGCCATGCCCACAGATGGTCACACTGGGCTGGGCACACCGAAGGACATCCTCCTGCCACTTTCATACTCCGGATGGTGTCTGATCTACTGTCCCCAGAGACTCATTTTATTCCTCTTTGTTTTCAGTGAGTAGTTGTAATGACCAGCTACACCCCTGCAGCTCCCCAGGAGTGGCCAGCACTCTGCCCTACAGGGACTGTATTGGCCCTATCTTCCATCCTTGTCAGTCAGATCTGCTCATTCCCTGCTGCTCAAGGCACCATGGGTCTCATTGCTTGGGGATTATCTCTCTTAATCTTGTAGCTCACTGACCTAGAGAAATGGCTTCATTAGCTTGGTTGTAGCAGTGCCCCAAACCAGTCCTCTCTGGAGTTTCCTTTACTTTTTCAGAGTCAAAGACTCCCAAAGCCTTAGTGATTGGGATCAGCCAGTGGCCACTACCAGCTTCCTTCTATACCCCCATGAAGTCAGAGTCCCCAGGTCCCTTGGATACCGTGGAAGACCACTGAACTTGCAAAGTTACATGTCTTGGGGCCATCTAGGGAATCTGTGACCTTGGGCAAGTCATTTAACCCCTTTAGGCTTCAATTACCTCATCTGTGAAATGGGGGCTTGTACAAGATGACTATAGGTCTATAATCCTCTGGTCTTAAGAGGCACCTTTTGTTCTCTTGTCTACATGGAAACAACTGGTTTTACCAGATAACAAAGGAGGAAGGTAACCAAAACGAAATGGGTACTGCACCTTCAGGTAAGTAATTCTCCCCCCCCCAGATGTTGAGTGATACTTCAAAACACCTGTTGTGATCTGAACTCTATCCTTTCTCACTGGCCCCGACTGAATTCCATTGTTACATGCTTTTCCTCTTAAGAGTATTCCTTCCATTCCTCAGTGGATAAATGGTCAAAGTATATGAACAAATAGTTTTCAAAAGAAGAACTGGAAAGGATTCACAGGCACATGAAAAAAAAATGCTCCAAATCACTAATAATAAGAGAAATGCAAATCAAAACGACCCTGAGGTTTCACCTCACACCTTGCAAACTGGCAAAAATGACAAAAAAGGGCAACAGTCAGTGTTGGGGAGGGGGGTGGTAGGAAGATAGGCACACTAATACATTGTTGATGAAGTTGTGAAATGGTACAACCATTTTGGAAAGCATTTTAGAATTATGCTAATAAGGTGACTAAAATGTCCGTACCTTTTGAACCAATGACTCTTTTACTATGCTTCTCCCCGAAATAAGCCATTGATAAGAAAAAAAAATGCCCATCTACCCCAAAATATTTATGGCAGCATTTATTTATTTTTTTTTGTGATAGCTAAGAATTGGAAACAAAGTAGATGCCCATTGATCAGGGAATGGCTAAACAAATTGTAGTACTTGAGGGTAGTGGAATATTATTGTACTGTAAGAAGCAATGTGTGTGATGAATACAGAGAAGCATGGAAAGAGCTACATGAACTGATGCAAAGTGAAGTCAGCAGAGCCAAGGAAACAATATACACAGTGACTGCAACAATGTAAATGGAAAGACCAACAATGCACCAAAATATCAAAAGTAAATGTAACAGAATTGAAAAGATCAAATGGGATTCAAATAAAGACATGAGAAGACACCACCCTAGCCCTTGGTGGGGGTGGAAGGCCTAGGGGCGTTACACATGCACATGTTTTCAGACTTTCTCAATGTATCCATCAGTCATGCTGACTTTTTTTTTTCCTTTCTTAAAAAAACCCCACACCCCACTATTTGTCATAGGGGATGCTTTTGGAGAGGAGAAGAGTGAGGAACACATGGGATACTATGGTGATATAAGAAACAGAAAACATCAATTAAAAAATTACTTAAGAAAAGAAGTATTCCTCCCACTTCTGGAAAGGATGAAGCTTGAGTAGAACAATGAACCTTAAGAAAGCTGAAAACTCTAGTCTTTCTCTGTCAGGAATAGGACCTATTGTGCTCTGAAGCCAAGAAAGGTCTCTGAAGCAAGGAACAAGGGAAGGTTGGAGCTAGGAAATACCTGTGCATTCAGGGGTGTGCTGGTAAATGTTTAACAACCAGCTCTCTGAAAAAAAAGATGCATGACACACTTTTCAGTTTAATCTGCATCATTCACATTCTCCATCACTTTCATAAGTTTAGACTATCAACAAAGCAGTAAACCAAGCCCCAATTTATAGTTTTTGCTGATTTCTAAGGTGTAAATGCTCACACTGAAAATTTTAACAATCTGCTCTCCCTGGGAGAGTTAGCTCTACCACACTCCATACCAGTTAGGGGTTAGAAGCGTTATGCAACAAACCAGCCAGTTAACCAGGATACGTTTTGCCAAGCCGAGAGGCCAGGAGCAAAAAGAAGTATTCTGAGCAAAAGCAGGTTTGGTACCAACACCAGGCAACAAGCAGAGAGACATACAGGGAAGTAAACAACAGTTTTCCCGATCTACGACAGGCAGCCAACCTTTGGGCCCCCCTCTTCGCATCCTTCTTAAATCTCTGAAGCTGGACAGCTTCCGTTGCTCACTGTATGGCTTTCCATGTCTCTGAGCTACTGCAGGCAGGTTCAAATATTCCCTTACAAGAGACAGGCCCAAACACTGATAAGAAAGGAGACATCCCTGCCTGTCCGGATCCTACCCACAGTCCTAAAGAGCTGCATAAAAACAAATGGAAAGACTGTTCTCTGGTTCATCCACAAGTCAGCCCTTTCCTTCTGCCTCTATAGGAACTGGATGCATTTCAGACATACCCCGTAGAGATAGTGCCCGGAGAAGTCTACCTGGGAACTTCGAGGCAGGCCTGCAATCCTCAAATGCATAAACATCTGAAAGTCAAAGCTCATGTCAACGTCTGCTTGGAAACAGCACCCTTGTAAGTAACGGGACTTCTGTGTGTTTTGTAGGAGGCTGAGCAGCACACCCCTGAATGCACAGGTATTTCCTAGCTCCAACCTTCCCTTGTTCCTTGCTTCAGAGACCTTTCTTGGCTTCAGAGCACAATAGGTCCTATTCCTGACAGAGAAAGACTAGAGTTTTCAGCTTTCTTAAGGTTCATTGTTCTACTCAAGCTTCATCCTTTCCAGAAGTGGGAGGAATACTTCTTTTCTTAAGTAATTTTTTAATTGATGTTTTCTGTTTCTTATATCACCATAGTATCCCATGTGTTCCTCACTCTTCTCCTCTCCAAAAGCATCCCCTATGACAAATAGTGGGGTGTGGGGTTTTTTTAAGAAAGGAAAAAAAAAAGTCAGCATGACTGATGGATACATTGAGAAAGTCTGAAAACATGTGCATGTGTTTCTTTTTAATTTGTAATATGCTTGATGACATATGCATATGTCCCTACAGAATTACGGAATCTTAGAGTTTCAAGGCCTCTTAGAGCTCATGCAGCACGACTTCCATCACCAATGGGTCTACTGGAGAGGCATCAGTCAATAAATATTTGTTGTTTATTGATTGATAGTTTATTGATTGTTTGAGGCATGAGTTCAACAATAAAGCTAACTGTTCTCTGTAACATCGTTTTACCAATGTCAAGTACATGAAACTGATTGCTGCCCATTGGTATATGCCTATATTTTCTTTTTTTTCCCCCTTAATAGTATTTTTTTTCCAATTACATGTAAAAACAGTTTTCAGCATTTTTGTAAAATTTGGAGCTCCAGATTTTTCTCCCTCTCTCCCCTGTGCAATCATGTTAAACATATTTCCACATTAGTCATGTTGTGAAAGAAAAATCAGAACAGAAGGAAAAAACCATGAGAAAGAAAAAGAGAGAAAGTAGTCTGCTTTAATCTGCATTCAGACTCCACAGTTCTTTCTCTGGATGTGATTCTATGCCTATATTTTCTATCCGCCATCTAGATGAAAAAAAAGAAAAGAAAATTGGTCAATTACAATAAGTAATTTTTTCAATCTAATTTTCTAAATTCCTTTCTAAAAAAAACCCAGGAGAACTATACTCAAACTATAATCCAAAGATCAATTTCAGTTAGCATGTATGTTCATGTCTTTTCAAAAGCTGCAATTTTGTCTTTAAACTCATCCTCCCTGGGATTTTTAGAACTGGACAATTCCGTCAGTTGGTATTACCTCTAATTATAATAGCCTAGGGAAACACTTTGATCCAATTAATGGTACTTTTGTTGTTATCAAGAGAGCTTCAAGAGAAGTGTGGGTTTAATTTTTTCTCTATCCATTGTCATGTTTGAAATGTTACACCTGCCTCTCAACGAGATACTGACTCTAGTATCGTTTTACAAGAGCAATTTCAAACGATCCAATTTAATATTAGGAAGCAGAGTCAGTTGGAAACCTTTCCCCCTCTATTACCATTCCAAAAATGGCTCACTCACCTGGCATCATTAGAAGAAGAGGCATGTTGCTTAAATGAACTTTCCAAATGAATCAATCTTACCACATTAAGTATATAATCTTTTTTAAAATGTTCTGTAATCGTTTCTGGAGGTTGTTCTTTGGGTTGTGGTGAGGACCTGTCCTGGAAGCCACTGTGGCATGTGCTGAAGTGTTGGCAAAGTTCAGTGCCACCCTGTCTCCAACCTGAATGGGGATGGCCTGCCCCCACTGCCGTCCCAGCCACGGGAGACCCACAAAAGAGAGTTCTCCCATCAAAATCTACGACTCTGTCAGACAGTTCAGCATCAGAAACAGATACAGTTTGATCTATGGGAATGATATAAAGATGGGTTTGTATGTTAGCATTATGACTCCTCTCTATACCAGTCAAACTGGATTCTTTACTGACCGGACTTCTGCACGTTACAGCCCAGCCATCAGCTGAACCCTAAGGATACGTGAGTGTCTGTGATGAGGTCAGGCTGGTGGTGGGCAGCAGGTCAATTCTGCAGCTGCAGTTTGTCTGTGCCCTGTAGCCTCACGCTTGGCCCGAGGACTTCTCAGGAAGAGTTCTCTCCTCCTCTCCCTTCCTGATTTCCACTTCCTAGCCTGATCTGTCTCACACCACACTGTGTGAAGCTGGGCATCAGAGCAAGCAGCTGGGACATCCTACACTAGGCAGACAGACCCTGTCACTGGACAGTTACTGGACCCTTCACAGAAACACAGCCTTGGAAACATTGCCCCTCCCCACCCCATTCACATTGGCAGTGAAGAAGAATGAGAGGAAAGTCTCTGCTCTTTCCTAGCTGTCTGTCCTTGGTCAAGTCACTGTTTCTTGGCTTGCCAGGTCCTCATCCATAAAATGGGGAGATTGGACACAGTGGCCTCTGAGGTCTCTTCCAGCTCTGAATCCACAGTGTTGTGCACTTGCCACAAAGCCTTAAAATGGCTGCATCCCTCTGAATAGGCCTGCTGACATATCCCCTCTTTGGCTTGGCCACATTTTTTTCAGTGCTTTTCTCATACCCACAATAAGTATTTAGGGAGCATCTACCATGGGCTTAGCGCACGACCTTGTAAAGTTTCAGGGCAGTGAATTGAACACTGGCCCTGGAATCAGAAAGACCTCCGTTGACATCTGGCCTTTCCAACACAGGGATAACTCAGTTAATTAATACTCAGAGGAGCTCACCTGAAGCCCACAGAACTTTGTGGCTCAGCCCCAGAGAACGAGACTGTTCCTTTTGTACTTGAGAAAGTGACTTGGGAGGAACTAACACGGTTCTCCAGATGTTAAGGCTTGTGAAAGGAGCTTTATAAAATTCGGCCTTGCTTCACAGACTGAGACTCAGGATTGGGAGGAAAGCAAACTACTCTGTGTTGAACAAACCCCAGCCTGGGGTAAGTGTGATCAGAGAGTGGAAGGTTTCCGTGTGATGCTGAAAACTCACTTTAATTGGACCTTTAACAGAGTGAAAATTGTTAGCTCAGGGTTCCACAGATGGTGTGACTTGTATTTCCAGCAACTTGTATATTTCTGCAACTTCTGCCCCCAATCACTGGAGACATTGGATGAAATCAAGGGGGGAGTCCGCCCGCAGAGGGGCAGTCTTCCAAAATTTTCCCATCTGGAAATCTCTTCCTTCCATGACCTTGGAGACAGGCTTCTGGTGGCCATGCGGGGCACAGGGAAGGGATAGCTTCTGTGATTGGCTTGAACTGCTTAAATTGGTGGTGCTCAGCAGCCGCTGTTTAGAGCCTCATCTTCCAGCAGCTGACTGTGATTGGGGATTGAGGGACTACAGCAATTGAGTGCTGATGGTGTAAGCTGCCACGTCCCGAGAATCTAACTGCTGATGACCAGGACCGGAGGAGAAGAGCCAAGACCGTGAGTCAGTATTCCTCTGAATCTCCCTGGTGCCTGGAGGCTAAGATGAGAGGAGTGGGCACCCCCCGAAAATCATATCAGCTAGTGAGATGGAGGGAAAGATAGCACTTCCTTCTTCTACATTTTAGTGTAGTCATTGACCTCCGGAGGTCACAAGCCCTTCATTAATCCTTTCCACAACCTGTGGGAATAGTGTCTCAGAACTATTCCATCAGCACCCAGGAGATCTGAGGGAGTGGAAGGATTTGGGGAATATGATTGGAAAAGAAACCTCCATGTGGGAGTGTCTAACATACTCCCCTTTGTTTTCACTATGTTCAGTAAACTGTGTCCTCAGTGTGTTCACTGGGTCAGTCACTAAACATTTATTAAGCACTTACTGCATTTAATTCTGGGGATACAGAGAAAGGCTAAAAACAGCCACTGACCTCAAGGAGCTCACGCTTTAATGGGAGGAGAAAACATGTAAATAACTATGCATATAAAGTTATATACCAGCTAAAAGGGGAATAACCAAAGGAGAAAAGGCGGTAGGATTGAGAGGGATTGGGAAAGGCTTCTTGGAGAATATGGGATTTTAGCTGGGATTCAAAGTGTCTGTGTCACTGGGCTGAGAGAGGAGATTCCAGATTCAGAGTTGAGGTGAGATTTATAGATTTCCAATTTTTAATATCCCCTAGTTTAAATTCCAGAACCCATCAGGGGAATTGTGGGAATACTTGCAGGCTGAACACCCTCTAGTGGCCAAGGTGGAGACTGCAGCCTATTGGGAGATTGTACCATGTCTACACCAGAGTAATGGCAATGGCGACCGAGAAGATGGTGCCAGAGATGGCTCCATTATATTTGCTTGGTAAATAATCAATACGGAGCCACACTTCCTTCCTCCAGCTGGAAGACATTCATTCAACAAGCATTTATAAGAGCCTACTATGTGCCACATCCTGTACACAGCCTGGGGTTGCAGAGGCAAAAAAAACACATTCCCTGCATTCCAGAAACTTACATTCTGTGGGGAGCAGCATGTACACGTATTTGTTGTTTTTCAGTCGGGTACGACTCTCAGTGACGCCATTTGTGGTTTTCTTGGCAAAGGTACTAGAATGCATTGTTTGCCATTTCCTTCTCCAGCTCATTTTACAATTGAGGAAACTGAGGCAAATAGGATGAAGGGACTTGCCCAGGGTCACACAGCTAGTAAGTGTCTGAGGCCAGATTTGAACTCAGGAAGATGAGTCTTCCTGACTCCAGACCTGGTACTGTATCCTCTGCACCACCCAGCTGCCCATGCACACATATAAGTAGATACAAAAGTATTTATATAGATACAAGTATGTAAAAAGTAGATATAAAATATATCTATAAACAAGAATATTATAATAAAAAACGAATACAAGTAAATACAGGGTAATGGAGTGGGGAATCACGTCTCTGTAGAAGGATCATCTGAGCTGAGCTTTGGAGGAGACCAGGTGTTGGTTTCTAAGAGGTCAGAGGTGAAGAGGGAGGGCCTTCTAGGCGTGAGGGAGAGCCTGGGCAGAAGTAAGGAGAGCAGAGATGGAATGTGGTATATTTGAGGAACAGCAGGGAGGTCATTTTGGCTGCATCATAGAGTACACAAAAGAGATCCAGGTGTGCCAAGTCTGGAAAGATAAGCAGGATTGGTACGTGAAGGTCTTTGAATGCCAAGCAGAGAAGTGGTGGTAGGAGTCACTGAGTAAGAGAGTGAGGAGTCGATGTACTATAGCAAGGTCTAGGAGGTCAGGCTAGAAGTGGAAACAAGTCCCCCGTAACCTGTTTGTCCTACTTGCCTTCCTCAGGGTCCACAGGAAAAGCTCTATTTTGGGGAGCTTATCAGAAGACCCAAAGTACTTGATAAATGATCCACAAGAGAAGAAAGGACAAACAACAACCCTCACCCCCACTGCCTGTTGAGGTATAGAGGTTTATGGTGCTGGGTCCCTGAAATAGCAACAGGCAGGTCTTACCCGAATGAATTCAACCCAAGTCTTCTCTTAGCCAAAGACAAGGTTTATTAAAGATTTGCCATATTGGCCAGACACTTAAGGAACATTTGTGACGCTCATATTGACAAGCAGGCTAGAGTGAATCTGAGCACCTTAATGGTGGCCAAGATGGATCTTACGTACAGAAGGACTGTGGGAGGGATCTAGGAGTGGCCAAGTAGTTTGAGGTGACTGGAGGAAGGGTCTAGGGAGGATCTTGATGGGAGTGGCCAGTAGGCTGGGGTGACTAGAGGTCTGACACCTGGGAATGAGGTCTAGATAGGATCAAGAGTGGGAAGTAGCTTGGGATCATCCAGAGGTAACAGACAGTGGAGGGCTGGGCTAGCTTAAGGGTAAGGGAGAATTGGGAGATTGGTGTAGGCAATAATGAAAGGCCAATTGAGGGGATCATAGCCTCAGGGGAACACTAGAGACTTCCTGGATCAAGAGGGAATATTCTAGGAGTTCCAGGTGGGGGTTTCCAGAGCCTGTCCACTGAGAAAGAGATTCCCTAAAGATGGACTGAGGATTAGGGTGCTCAGCCCTGAGCCAGGGAAATAGCTTCCCTTCACTCTCCTATATGTCTAAAGCCACCAGAGCTGTCCCACCATACTCTTGTGCCTGAAATAAAGGGACTCAAAGAAATACATATGTCAGGTCCAACCACAGATGTTTATAGGAAGTAAAACAAGGTTAGTTTTTGAAAAATACAACTGATGAGAAGATTACAAAGCAGCAAACATCAAAACAATCTGGTAACAGCTAAGAAATAGAGTGATAGATCAGTGGAATAGATTAGGTACAGAATACACAGTAGTAAATGACTATAGTAATCTAGTACTTGATAAATACAAAGATCCAAACTTTTGGGACAAGAACTCACTATTTGACAAAAACTGCTGGGAAAACTGAAAAGCAGTTTGGCAGAAACTAGATATAGACCAACATCTCATACCATATCAAGATAAGATTAAAATGGGTACATGAGTTAGACATAGAGGTTGATACCATAAGCAAATCAAGGGGAATGGAATAGTTTACTTGTCATATCTGTGGACACAGGAAGAATTTGTTACCAAAAAAGAGAGCATTACAGGATGTAAAATGGATAATTTTTATTACATTAAATTAAAAAGGTTTTGCACAAACAAAACCAATGCAGCCAAGATTAGAAGAAAAGCAGAAAACAAGGAGAAATTTTTTTTTACAGCACGTTTCTCTGATAAGAGGCCTCATTTCTCAAATATATAGAGAACTGAGTCAAATTTGTAAGAGTACAAGTCATTCCCCAATTGATAAATGGCCTAAGGATGTGAACAGGCATTTTTCACATTAAAAAAAATGCTCTAAATCACTATTGATTAGAAAAATGCAAATTAAAACAACTCTAAAGTACTACCTCACACTTATCAGATTGCTTAATATGACAGAAAATGATAAATGTTGGAGGGCATAGGGGAAAACTGGAACGCTGTCGGTGGAGTTGTGAACTGATCCAACCATTCAGGAGAGCAATTTGGAACTATGCCCAAAGAACAATCAAACTGTGGATACCCTTTGACCCAGCAATACCACCACTAGGTCTATATCCCCAAAATATTTTTTTTAAAAAGGTAAAGGACTTATATGTACAAAAATATTTTTAGCAGCTCTTTTCTGTGGTGGCAAAGAACTGGAATTTGAGGCGATGGCTGAACAAGTTATGGTATATTATTGTAATGGAATTCTATTGTGCAATAAGAAATAATGAACAGGATGCTTTAAGAAAAATCTGGAAAGACTTACATGATCTGATGCAAAGTAAAGTAGGCAGAACTGGGAGAATGTTGTACACAGTAACAGCAATATTGTACAATGACTTAGCTATTCTTAGCAATACAGTGATTCAAGACAGTTCTGAAGGACTTAGGATGAAAAATGCTATCCACCTCCAGAGAAACTGATAGAACCTGAATGCAGATCAAAGCATACTCTTTTTTTTGCTTTTTTTTTGTCTTTTTTTCTTTCACAACATGACAAATATGGAAATATGTTTTGCATGACTGCATATCTATAACCTATATCAAACTGTTTGCCCTGCCTTCTAATGGGGGGTGGGAGGAGAGAATTTGGAACTCAAAGTTTTTAAAAATGAATGTTAAGAATTGTTTTTACACGTAATTGGAAAAAATAAAGTATTTGGAAATAGAAAAAAAAAGGGGGAAATACACCTGATAGCAGAGCCAATGAATGAGCCCAGAAATGGGTGCCATTTGCCCCGAGCCAAAGGCTGGGGAGGGAGGAGGATAAAAATAGTTGGCTCCTCTAAATTCCCTGTAATGCTTCTGCTTTTACCAGCAATTCAGGCCTTCAAAGCAGCATGTCTGTCACCCACTGCTGCCACTGTTTGCCCCCTCTGTTGCTGCTACCAACTCAATCGTCTTCCTCCTCCTCCTCCTCCTCCTCCCTGTCCTCCATCTCTTTCTGTGTCTCATCCTCTCTGTCTTTCTGTGTCTCATCCTCTCTGT